TTGCTATAGGCCAGCCTGTGCCACCTTAAGAAATGGTAATACAAACTCCATGGGGTTCCTCAGATGGGCTCCTCTGCCCTTGCCTAAATTCTGTCCCTCTGTGGCAATTCCCAATAGGAGCCTGCCCATATTCTGCTTGCATATGTTTATCAGTAGAGAGCTCCTGCCCCTTCCCAAGGCCCCTGCCTTCTGTTCCCTTGGTCCCCTCGCTGCTTTTCCTTTGTGTGGAGCTGGATTCTGTCTCTCCTCAGTCTCCCTCAGGTATAGGTCTGCCATCTGCTCTTCTTCATGTGACATGAGAGGCAAGAAAGACAGCACCCCAGACCTTATCCTGGCTCCAAAAAAATACACCACAGGGAAGGAAATTTCATCTACTTTTCTGCCTGATTGCCACATGCAGGATAGGAGATCTTAGGTGGGGCCATGCCCTCTGCCCCATCACCCATAGACTTTGTAGACTTTCTCCCAGGGCCAGTGTGCTGAAGTGTTGGAAGTCCCCAGAAGACTGGGTAGTACCCAGAGGTTCTGTTGCCCCACTCAAGTGACCCAGGAAGAATGAGGCCTGTGCCAGGATGGTGGGCACTGTGCATACAATCAGCCAAAATTTCTGGGTTCCCTATCCTTACCACAGTTCCCATACCAGAGGACCCAGTGAATCACCAGGGAAGAGATAATGGGGTGTTGTTTAAAATTGTAAAAATACAATGATGAAGCTCATTGAGTGTCTTGTGTCAACACTCCAGCTGAATGACAGGCCAAAGAGCCAGGCTGGCCAGCGGAGGAAGGTCAATATTGACGCAAACTGCCTCTCAGCCCAGCTCTAGCCACTTGGACATTGCTGCAGTCCAGCAGGGGCTCAGGCCAGTCCATCTCTTTGACTTCTGTTTACTGTGTCTTGAATCCTAACCTGTGCCCACCCATCTCTGGGTGTATAGCATTGGGCTTTCTGGGCATGGGGTTGTCTCCAAAGGAAAACTTGAAGAATTACATTCCTTGAAGGGTTTAGGGTCAGGGACCTCCTTAGCCTCTCAGATTGCAACAGTCTTCACATGTAGAGACTCAAGACCTTAATATCTTGCCAGAAAGAATCTCCATAGTCCCTAACTACAAGACTCCCTTTTGTTTTGACAGCCCTTAGCTTTCCATATCTATATTTTGCTTGCCTCCTCACTTTATATACATAAAACCACTGTGAGATAGTTTGAACCTGATTTCTTGGGCCCATTTTAAAGATGGAAGGTGGATAGGAAGAGGAAGCAGGTGACAAGAAAAAGAATATACACACAGAAAGTGCCTGCCCCATACCAGGTTCTGCGCTAGGTGCTTCTTATTAGTACATCTAATGGTAATGGTAGATATTACAGGTTCCATTGTTAAATGAAGAAACCAAGGCTCAGAGAAAAGCAAATATCTAAGATGGTCAGTGTAGAACTGGAATGCAAAGCTCTGACTCCAAGCTCATTCACCATACCCAGAGCCCAGAGAAAGCAAATGACTTATCTTAGATCACACAACTATTTAGAGCGGAGATGAAACCAGAGTCCTTGAGCTGAATGCTCCCTCTACCCCAGACAGCACCCATGATAATGGTATAGTCAGGGTCACCCATGAACATGTGAACACATGTGACATGTACTGAGGGTGTTGCTACTTCTGCCACTAAAGCCAGAAACGGCCCCTTCCTTGGGCCAAAGACCCTGAATTAGGGTCTTACACACTATTCATCTTCCATGAACCCTCTGCCCTTACTTTATTCCTACTGCTTTTTTCTATCACCCTCCAACAGTGTCTTGCCAAATAGCCAGACCATTCTCAAAATCCTCCCAGAGAGGAGGACTCAAGGGTAGTTTAAACTTTTCCAACTGGAGGCCAGTGAGGTGGCCTCTGGGGCTGAAGGACATTTATCATTACAGTTACTCCTCACAACTACCCTATGAGAATGGCAATCCATCCTCATTTTACAGTTGAGGACATTAAAAAATTTGGAGAGAAATAAAACAAATGTGCCAAAGGAGTCACAGGCAGTTAGGATTCAAACTCAGCTCTTTTTGGTTAAAAATGTTCTCAGTCACTGAGAACCAAGAGGAGAATTAACAGCATTGCAATACATACTAAACCAGACACAAAAATGACCACATAGATTGGAGACCCCACCCTGCCCACCACCTAGTAAAACAAACCCAAGGAGCCTAACAAACACCAGATGGGGGTGTGGGGGGATACAGAGAATACACCACCCCAATCTTGGGAACTCTCATGTCTTAGCCCTTGGTGTTCCTAACAGCATCCACACCCTATATGGAAAGTTACTTCCTGGCTATGGGAAGAGCTGGGGCAATTTTAGCATGTCTGGGGGTCTGGGGATCTGGGGAACCAGCTGGCAGACTGCAATGTGCAGAGCAGGGGCATCTCTGCCTGGGACTCCTGAAGTCCCCACCTCTTGCCCTGCTAAGCACAGATGCCGGTCTGCTACCGCACTTTCTGTTTGGAATCCTCTTCTGCAAGCCTGCGTTCAATGCAACTGGCCTGGCTGACGCTGCCTCACCCCAGACAGGCATCAGACCTGATGAAAATCTGAAGCTTGTGCCAGGACAGGGACAGCCATTTGAAGCCCTCATGACCTATCATGGGGCTGAAGTGGTGTGAGTAACTATATGCAACCACTAAGGACTGAGAAATCACAACTAGCAGGGATTAAGCCACTGCCTAACTAGGAGGGAGTCAGTTGCCTGACCACTGTTCCTCCCAGCCTGCCCCTCAGGAAGGTATGGAGAAGGCTCCAGGGCTACATGTTCCTCACTCACCTCCGGGAGGCCTTCCCTGACTCCTCTTCCTTGGGTCTCCTCACCCTTCAGCAGTCAGCTCTCTTGGGCACCGAGGGAAGACCAAGGACCTTCCAGGGCTAGTCCACCGCAGGCCTAAACAGAAACACATAAGAAATAACATTGTGACAAATGTAGTAAGTGTCCCCCAGATTTCGCGACTGGCTGGAGTCTAAGACGTTGCGAACTGCTCCACGCCTCCCCCCCCCTGAGCGATCTGAGGTGCTAGAGGCTGCGGCCGGCTCCCAGCGGGGCTCTGGGAGGAGGGGCAGGTGGGCGTAGCGCAGCTTCCGGGGTGGCCCCTCTCCCCACCGCTGTCGGACCCCGCGCGGCCACCGCCTTGCTGCGCCGAGTTGGCGCGCACGCAGAATAGGTTGCGCTCCGGGGGCGCCGAGCCCGCTGTGCCCGCGCGTAAGGCCACTCTGTCCCGCTCGGGCCAGCCTCGAACTTCGGGGACTGAAAGCCGGGGTAAGGGAGCGCGCTTGAGACAAGGCCTGTCCCTTCACCGCGGCCCGGGCCGGGAGGGGGATCACCGGCCTTTGGCAGCGGCCAAGCACCCACCTGCCGAGCGAGAAGCCCGCGAGCGCTCGGAGAGGCCGCGGGAACCAGGCCCGCCCTCCGCGGGAGGGACCTCGGCGCGGGGAACGGCGAGGAGGGGCCGCGCTTACATGTTTGTGCAGCGCCGCTTCACCTGGCCGCGAGTTTGATTTCAGGGTGTGGCCTCAGGTAGGACATAGCGAACGCAGAACAAGGGAAAAATCGCGCAGGGGTGCAGGGGCAGCAAGGCAAGGAGCCCCGCTGCCGAAGGAACGACCCTTGCCCAGCGCTTTCCCTCCAACCTCTTGGCTCCAGCTCCCACCTACCCTGACACGGCCGCTCCCATAGCTGTCTGCCCGCCACGCAAAGACCCGACCTGGATTATCCGCTGAGCACCGGCTGGTAATTAACTCATTAATTTATCTTCCAGATGCACGCTGTGGAGCCGCAGGCCCACTCTTTGGGACCTAAGAGGTGCCGTGGGTGCCACCCACACATCCTGGAGAGCCCAAGCTGCAATCCTAAAACCTGGCACCTTGGCCTGTCTGCCCCATTCTGAATTGTTCTGGGATAACCGCCTTGTACAGGCAGAAGGGCAGGATTTAAAGGAATGCAATTCCCCATCACACCTTGTTTAGTCCTGTCAATGCTCTGGCCTCTGGATTCCAGGGTGGGAGACTTTGGGGGACTGAAAGCATCATAGGAGCACAGAATCCTGAAACAGAGGAAGGGGTTCATACAAAACCTCTCCGTTTCTGTCCCAGAGCCAGCATCCCATCCTTGTACCCAGCAATGCCCTGGTTTAAGATCAGAATGGCATTTCCGGTGACTCATTCCTGACTTCCCATTTGGGGTAGGTTGGGACAGGTTACCCTGCTTCTTTGGGACAGAGGATAGATTTTATGTTGAGCAAAGGGGTTGGGACCACTTGTCTGTGTCTAATCCAACAAGGAAGTGAGAAGACTCTTATTGTCCTCGACTTGGGCCCCTAGAGAGGGCTGGGTGCTGGCTGAGTGCTGAGGGGATTCTGGCTTGGAAATTCAGTACATCTGGACCCCAAATGGCTGCCTTCAAGTGGTGGCTGGGTAACTGCCAGTGTCAGTGTGGAGATTTTTTTTTGTGTGTGTGTAATTAGGATTGAATTTTGGGGTGCTTAACCACTGAGCTATATCCCCAGTCCCTTTTTGTTTTGAGTCAGGGTTTTATTTTGAGACAGGGTCTCACTAAGTTGCCTACCACCTCTGTAAGTTGCTGTGGCTGACCTTGAGTTTGGGATTCTCCTGCTTCAGCCTTCTGAGTTTCTGGGATTACAGGCACCAATGTGCCCAGTGATTTTTTTTAAAACCCTTATTGGTTACCTCAGATTTAAATTATTGAGGTCACTATTCCCACATAATTTTGTTCACTGATTCTTTTGACTAGGACAATGCTATTTGTGGATAAATCATTACATTGTGGGCCCTATTACTATGCATAGTTTAAGACTTCCACCAAATAGAAGGTGATCCATGGGAATTCACCAGTCACTAACCAGTCTGTACTCTATATCTTTCTACACCAGAAGCTCTGATGCCCTCAGCTTCCCTAGGGAAGGCTTTGTGCCAGGTAACATTTCCTGGTCCTGTGTTCTAAGGAGGGCACCCCAACACAGAGATGAACATTTAATTTCCATTCTTCTTTCCTTACTGTATCTCCTTCTCCTCTCCTCTGTGTCTTTTCCAGGTGTATCCTTTTTTCTTTCTTTTTTAAGTTGTCAATGGACCTTTATTTTATGTATCTATTTGCAGTGCTAAAAATGAAATCCAGTGCCTCACACAAGTTAAGCAAGCACACTGCTATTGAGCCACAACTTCAGCCGGCAAGGTGTATTCTTTTTCTTTTCTCTGACTGGACACTGTTGGCCTGATTCTGTTAGACAAACCATGACCTCCGGTGGCTGCCCAGGAAGCTGACTAGTTAAGGTCCATGCAAGGAGGACAGGGCAGGTGGTACAAGTATGGCTTTCCCCACATATTAGTTATCCAGGAACATGGATGTGGTGGTCTAATACTGACTTTGAGAATTTGGATGTGCTGTATAGAGGGAGGAAGTAGAGATTAGTTGCTAAGAATTCAAAATGAACCACAAACCAAAGTTAGAATGAAATGTATTATGTGATTGAATTTAGAATCAACATCCTAAATTACTTTATCGTGACTCACAAATGCACATGTGAATTATTTTCTTTTAATATAGATGCCTATGTACCAAAACCATAGTTCCAAGCACTACCTTTGAACTATAAAAACTACAGTAAGTGTGAATATTATTAAAAATGAACTGGTATTTAATTTATTTGAATCCAGGATTGGGTATCCCAGAATAACTACTGGATAAGTCCTTCACCTTACATAGAGTAAATCCCAGAACCCCTAGATTCTTCCCACCTTGGGAGAAAACAGTTGGGCTTGGGTATTTAGAGAGGCACAGAGTCCTGAAGGAGACTGACCCAGATTAATATGCCAGATGTGCCAGAGAAAAAAATTCCCATACAAGATATGAGAGTAGACTAGAGAACTCTTGGGCCACCATAGTACCACATTTCTGAACTTCCAGTCCCTTCTACATGTGGTTCAGGTGCACGAGGTTGGATGTTGCCCTACATATTGGGATGACTAGGACATACAGGGTGGGTCCTGAGTGATTAATTCCTATGTGTGACTCTCTCCTCTCTGATCCATATGCAGCTCAGCTCTGTTCAGGAAGAGAGCAGAAGTGTGGTAAGTGTCAGGAGCAGTTTTGGGGACAACACTTCCTCCTGTGTTCCCATGCCTCTCTCTGGCCCCCTTCCATACTGAGCAAAGGGATGGGGCAGGCACATGCCCCTCTGATGAGCCTTGTCTGCTGGCTGAGGGAGTTTTCCAGGCACTGCCATTCTATACACTGGCCTGGAGCCCTGGACGCAGGCACCAAAAACAGACATTTCACCGTAGATGGGGCTTTTGGAGCCTTGCCTGCTCTGGGGCATTGGCTGGCCAGCATGGTCTGCAAGGGCCTCTGGGCAGGCCCAGGGTGGGGCAGCCACTTCCCAGTGTTCTCTCAGACTGTGGTTGTCAGAACTGTTTTAACATCTGAGCACTAGCAGCCAGGGCTGAGAGCCCAAGTTAGGGCCAAAGAGGAAAGATATGGATCAACTTGTGGTTTAGAAATACAAACACATTATCCTCTCTCTGCACCTTTCTGCTCACGACTTGAAAAGCTTCCTGGGGATCAGGAACCTGCTAACAAGCTCTCTTATGTCTTACAGGGCTCCTTCCTCTGGATGCCTCTGCTGTCCTTTGATAATAGTAACAATAATGCCTGCCAATTACTGAACACTTCTGATGGGTCTGATGGGCCCAGCCCTGTGCTAAACTGCACATATTATCTCAATCTTCACAGGGATCCTTGGATATAAGCATTATACTATTGTTATTCTTGTTTTACAGATGAGGAAACTGAGGCACAGAGTGGTTAAGGAACTATCTTAAGATCTCATAATTATTACTATATACAGAATGTTTGTGTACCTCCCAAATTCTTATGTTGAAATTTAATCACCAATGTAAGGGTATTAGGAGGTAGGGCCTTTGGGAGTGATTAGTTCATGAAGGCAGAACTCTCATGAATGGGGTTAGTGTCCTTATAAAAGTGACCCTGGAAAGGTCCCTGGCTCCTTCAGCCATGTGAGGTTATAGTGAAAAGAGCCATTTATGAATCAGGAAGTGGACCTTCACCAGATAACAAATCTGCCAGCATCTTGATCATGGACTTTCCAGCTTCCAGAACTGTAAGAAACAAATTTCTGTTGTTTATAAGTCACCAGTCTATGGTATTCTGTTTACAGCAGCCCATTTGGACTAATTTGGACTAAAGGACTAAGCTAGAATTTGAATCTAAGTATTGAATTTGAATCTTGACTAGCACATGCAAGGCACTGGGTTCGATCCTCAGCACTTCATAAAAATAAATAAAGGTATTGTGTCCAACTACAACTAAATATATATATATATATATATACAATACCTTTCCTTTATTTTGTTTTTATTTTTATGTGGTACCAGGGATAGAACCACATAAAAATATATATTGGCAGGTGCAAAGCTCCAAGGCCTGGCAGGCTTGGCAGGCAGCAACTGCCAGGCCCAAGGAGCCCTTAGGCAGGAGGGAGGTAGTATCGAGACTGTAGCCCATTTGTCTCTGTAGACTTATAGCATGCCGTTAGCCTCAATTTCTTGTCATGCATAACTGGAAAGAGCATCTCCTCCCTTGGGAAGGTGGTGGAGTGATGAAGTCTAGAGCATTAGGGTACAGGGATCCTGAGGACCAGTGGCTCCAAACAAGGTAAGCATAGCTGCTGAAGAGTCATGAAGAAAACTCCTCTCCTCCACCTGTGCACATGCATGAATAAACACATATACACACCTGCCACAGGGAACAATCAAACTCAGTTTGGTATACCACATAGCAAAATCCCAGGATTCTTCCAAAAGACAAGGCTACCACTTGCTAAACCAACCCAACAGGTCAATCCACTTTGGATCCCAGAGAGAAAACCCTGGCCCTGTCTAGGGCCCAGCTAGGTGTTTGGGAAAAATCCATGGGTTCCTGCCTGGCTGCTGGACGGATGTGTCCTGCTCATACTCTGAACCACGACAGAGAGAAACTACTATTCTCAGAATCTCAAGCCTCTCTCTGCCTGCCTCTTAAGTTCTGAACTGTACTAGGTTCTTCATGCTAGTGGGAATAAATGGGACTACCCCATGAAACACAAACTGGTATCAAGGGCCAAGCTTGCCTCATAGTCCCAAAGAGACCTGGTAACTTGGGATGAGCTGCTCAGATGCAGGGATCACTGCAGGCTATGGCACCCTTCACAGATACTTGAGGTACATGCTGAGCTGTACTGGGAAGGTTTGGGGAACAGAAAGAGCCACCTCTGCACTGAGGACAGTCATTTTGTAGACATGATGAAATCATTTAATATCTTCTCACAGAGCCAGGGTTGTGGCTCAGTGGTAGAGTGCTTGCCTAGCATATGTGAAGCACTGGGTTCTATCCCTGGCACCACATAAAAATAAAAACAAATAAAATAAAGGTATTATGTTCATCTACAACTAAAAAAAAAATTTTTTTAAATTACAACTACTCTGCAGCCCCCTGCTCTTAACAGCTTCCAAAGTTCTATCCAAATGTCTTTTGCTGGCATTTTAGCTCTCTGGCTGGCATTATTGCTGGCAGGGGGTAATCCCATTTATTCCCACTGGCATAACAGCTGGAAGCCTCCTTAAAAGGAAACTCTTCATTGTCCTCTTCTCTCCTGAGCCTCCAGTAGCCATTCCAGGTCTGAGGTTGGGGCAGGGCAGTGCCATGGAGCCCGGGGCCTGACTTTCAGGGAGGACAGGAGAGTATTGGGGGAGCAGAAAACCTGTGCCTGACCAGGTAAGAGCCAAGACCCAAGTTTCAGGGGAGGAGAGAGCCCAAGGAAGCATGATTTTGGCTATCCAAGCCCCATCTCCAACCCAATGGGCAGAACACCTTAGCTCTAAATGCACACAAGCTGCAGCTGTGGGCTCTGTGGCCTTCAGGGAACACTGCATCTGCCCTGGATCAGTGTTAGAAGGCATGGCCTGTCTGCCACTTAGTTAGTCTGTGCTAGGCTGCCATCCCCTTTCTGGGTCTTTCCTTCCCCAGCTCTGTTGCACACACCTTAAAGAGCCCTAGACTATGACAGAGGTAGCTGGCCTGTTGGGACATTCCTGTGAAAGCTGACATGGCAGGTCATGGTCACACCACTGTCACACCCTCACCAGTCACCAGTACAATAACCCGTGTAGGGTTGGTGGGTATCTGGGGGCAGCTCCTCCCTGCCACTCTGCCCTTTTCCTCCATAGGAGCTCTGAACATCTGCTTAACCAAGCCTGGTGTTCCTGCTCCTAGGCCTGGTTCCAACCTTCCCTAGGACTGAGACTTCCACATCTTCCCACCTTTCTGGATCCCAGACAGCTTCCTCCAGCAAGATCCACTCTAGTGGAATATAAAAGTCTTCTTGTCCCACCTGAACCTGGTGACAGAGTGAGAGGTAACTGCCCTCCTACATTTGGGAACTGACATTTGATGTTATCTAGTACACATTTAAATTATTGTCTAGGGGGCCTGGGGATGTGGCTCAAGCGGTGGCACGCTCGCCTGGCATGCATGCAGCCTGGGTTCGATCCTCAGCACCATATACAAGCAAAGATGTTGTGTCCATCGAGAACTAAAAAATAAATATTGAAAAATTCTCTCTCTCTCTCTCCCTCCCTCCCTCCCTCCCTCCCTCACTCTCTCTCTCTTTTAAAAAATAAAAAATAAAATAAATAAATTATTGCCTGGGGTTAAAAGTATATACCAGTGAGAAGACCACCTGAGGCAGAGGGCCTCTTGTGTGCCTCCCCACCCTCTTCCCAGACTCTCTCATGTCTAGACACTGTTATTATTCTCTTCTTGGGTTTAAGGCATTACCAGTCTATGGTTAAAATGTAAGATGCTACCTGGGACACAGAACTTGATTTATTTACAAATTAGTTAGATCTGTTTATCAGAAAGTGACCCAGTACTGGGGGACAATTCTGTCCTTGGGGAGCCCTTGGTTAACAAGCATAGGCTGGGTTGGGACTCTATATTAAACAGGGTGCAGGATGGGAGAGCAGAGACAGGAAACATAGAAAAGGGATAGGGCCACTGCTCTCAAGCCATCAAGCTACCTAGCAGTTCTTACCTGCTCCTGTGTGGGGGACCTATTGATGGACAGGCAGCCTGGGCAGTAGAAGAGAACTGGGCACAAATTGGAACCCCTGGTCCTGAACCACCCCTTGCCCCGACAAATTAGCAGTGTCATCTCAGTACTTACTTTCCTTCTCTGGGCCTGTTTCCCTCTGTAAAAATGATGGGATTTGGACTAGACATTCTCAGAGGACTCCCTGTGGCTTGAATGTGCTGTAGCAAGCAATCTGAGATGACCAGTTCCCTTATGGTAGCCTTTCCTCCTCTGAGCTCCTCCCTGCTGACCTGGTACTGTGCTGGGCCATACAAGGAGACTCTGGTGTAACTGGTCCTCTAACTCCCTTTACTCCTGTGCCTTCCTCTGCATAATTCCATATGGAGCCTTATTTGAAACTGAAAGAAAGAAAATGGAGCTGGAGATGCTCCAGGCTAGGGAGCTGAACCACAGAACCAGTCTACCCGGTTTTAACTCTACTGCTGCCATAATCTTCAGGAGCCCCTTCACCAGGCAGGCAGGCAGGCAGGCAGGCAGGCAGGCAACAGGAGACCTTGACCAAGGTGACTGGTTTGTTGCTATTTGCCCTGGGGAGAGTGAGCTGGGTCCTGCTGCACTGAGATCAGAGGCCAGAACAAATGTACCACATACCTGCACTTTCTGCACCTGCTTCTCTGAGCACCAAGAAAAGCCTCCTCAGGTCCTGGGCAGCCTAAGTATGTATGAAGGACAAAAGTCTGCTTCCACCTACTTGGCCTGAATGGACTGAAGCTGTGGGCAAACCAGAGCACAAGTCGATTATGACCAGGGCAGAGACACCTGGATTTGCTGATCAAGGCACCACTTTGGCAGAATAGGTTACCACAGAGAACCCACAGGTGTGCAAAAGTAGTCATCATTGTTCCTCTGTAAATACTTGGGTCTCTGCACTGCCTGATGTGTCATGATGAGGTTTTATAGAAAATGCTGGCCAGCATGGGTGTTCCTTTGTAGGAATGAGGCCCATGTGACCTTTTATGTAGTTATAAGGGTACTTTTTTTTAATATTTATTTTTTAGTTATCAGCAGACACAACATCTTTGTTTTTTTTTTTTTTTGTATGTGGTGCTGAGGATTGAACCCGGGCCGCACGCATGCCAGGCGAGCGCGCTACCACTTGAGCCACATCCCCAGCCCCCCTTTTTTTTTTAAACATGATTTCGCTCAGAATTTGAAAGCCTGTTATGTTTTGGGTTTCACTTTTTTTTTTTTTTTTTAGACTGAGGGATTGCTTTTCCTAAATTCATAGGACAGATAAACTTTTGGTAAGAAAAGCAAAGAAAGTCTGAGACTGAGCCTTGTGATTACTAGGCATTTCCAAGTCACTTGCCACAGTAGTTAAGGAGCTCTCAGTGCTCTCCAACTCCAGTCCCTCCACATGCAGCACCTCCAAGTTTTGTGCTTTAGATGGGGGTCTTTAGAATATGGTTATTCAAGGAATTGTGGATACCATGTGACAAAAGAGTCCAGGTTCAAACAGGAATGGGACCAGGGCCATACCCAGCCTTTACTATGTGCAGTCCAGTCCAAGTATCCACATTTTGAACTCCAGACCCCCATAAGGGGGTCTAATAGTCTTAAGTAGCCAGGCACATGTCTATAATCCCAGCTACTCGGGAGGCTGAGGCAGGAGGATTCCAAGTTTGAGGCCAGCTTGGGCAACTTAGAACCCCCATCTCAAAAAAAAGATGGGGAAACTGAGGATGTGATGAGTGGTAGAGTGAGCCTGGGTTCACTCCCTAATACTAGAAAAAGAATTAAATCTTTAAATTAATTCCTGAGAGAAACTCAGTGAGTAAACAGTTTGCTACTGGAAGAAAAATGGACCTGGTATTGCAATTCTTCCTAGCTTGGATGGGCATAGATCTACCAGCATTCTGAGAGCTTCGCTTTTCTTGAGGGAAGGGTTCTTCTACAGCTACCTCCTCCAGGAAGCCTTTCCTGATTCTCTTAAACAAGGTCTTTTCCTCATGGCACCTTGCTCCTTCAGTAATCTTAGCAGCACCCATATTGTTTTACTTAATGCTGTTTCAATAACCATATCACATAGGTATTATAATTATCTTTGTTGAACATGTCAGGAAATCAAGACCTAGAGACATGAAGTAACTTATCCAAGTCACCAGGAAGAGGCAACGCCAGGCCTGAGGCTCATCCTGCTGACTACACTGTTAACCCCATCATCCTGTGTCTTACTACATGATGTATCTCCCTGAGCACTCATTTTCCGCTAGGACCTGAAGATTGAAGCTTCTTCCACAAGTGTTTTTCATTCTTTTTTTTCCCCCTTTGGTCCATCTGTATAAAGTCTATGTTAAGAATCATCTTCTAGTATTGGTTTAATTTTATAAATTATCTGGACTGGATGAGTCATGGCTGACAATTTCAGTGATGAGTTTGGGGCCCAGAGTGGGCGGAAGGACAAAGCCACCCAGTTACTGATTGTGGCTCTGTGGTTCAGCTTGTTTCTGGTGGGGTTGACCCCATGCTCAGCTTTCCTTTACATTGCTCTATCAAAGGATTATAAGTGTCCCTGGGGCAAGAGTTCTGTCCCATTTATCTATCAGCACTTTTCCCCACCACCCCTCTGGCCACCAGTATTTTGTACTTAATAAACACACAATCCCTATCATGGGCCTGGAAGTCAGGTATCCAGAAAAAGCACTGACTGGATCCCACATCTTGACAAGTGTTGTGGTCTGAATGTGTCCCCCAAAGTTTATGTGTTGGAAAATTAATCCCCAATGCAACAGGGTTAAAAAGGTGAGATCTTCAAGAAGTGTTTGGGTCTTGAGGGCTCTGCCCTCACAAATGAATTAATGTCTTTACATAAAAGTTTATTACAAAATTGAGTTAGGCCCCTCTCTCTTATTTGGGGGCGGGGTTACTGGAGATTGAACCCAGGGGTACTTAACCACTGAGCTACACTGCAGCTCCTTTTTATTTTGAAACAGAGTCTGGCTAAGTTGCTTAGGGCCTCACTCAGTGCTGAGGCTGGCCTTGAACTTTGATTTTCCTGCCTCAGTCTCTGGAGTTGCTGGGATTACAGGTGTGGGCCACTGTACCTGGGGAATTAGGCCCTCTCTTGCTCCCTTCACTCTCTTGCCCTTCCATTGTCTGCCATGGGATGATACAGCATGAGGCCCTTGCCAGATGTGAGCTTCTCAATCTTGGATTTTCTAGTCTCCAGAACTATGACCCAAATAAAGTTCTACTGCATATAAATTACCCAGTCTCATGTTGTAGCAGCACAACAGACTAAAACCCAGGAAAGATAAGATTCCCTTTACCTCATATCTCCCATTTCTCAATTTAGCTCCCTCTGGGCCCTAGGACTGAGTTCCCATGGGGGTAGAGGGTGTGTCCTCACAAGGCACAGCCCTCCAGGACCTCTAGGATGGGCTGCTACCCTGCACTGAGTGGGGTTTCCACAGAGCAGGCCAGAGCCCTCCACTCCTTCCTAGACCACCAGCTAATACCCTGCTGGTTTGTGGTTTGCCTGCTGCTTACGAGCCTCTGCCATTGTGCCCACCAGTTGGATACCATCACTGTGTAGTTCCATGTACCTGGAGGCCTCCCAAGTTTACAGTCACTTTTTTTTTTTTGGTACTGGAGATTGAACTCAAGGACATTCAACCACTGAGCCACATCCCTAGCCCTATTTTGTGTATTATTTAGAGACAGGGTCTTACTGAGTTGCTTGGCACCTTGCTATTGCTGAGGCCAGCTTTGAACTTATGATCCTCCTGCCTCAGCCTCCCAAGCTGCTGGGATTATAGGCAGGCACCACAGTACCTGGCTAGAATCACCTTTTGAGAGGAAGAAGGAAATACTGCCACGGCTGGGTCATTTTCCTCATCCTGGAGCCAGGTGTAGGAAATACTTATGGGCTCCTTCTGACCTTGTCCTATGTATTCTTCCAGGATAGGAGACATTGGAGGTTATCCTCAGGAGTGAATAGTACAGAGTGGGCTTTGCCCTGGGTGGAGACCCCATTAGTTGGTATCTACCCTGTGCCTGTCCTGTCTCAAAGAGCTCAGAGAACTCAAAGAATCAATCTGTTCTTGAGGACTAGATTGACCCTACTACCCTTCTCAGGGATGAAGCTTCCACACAAATCAGTTTCCAGAAAGGCCTGCTCCTGGTGCCAACCCTTTCCTGGTGCTTTTGTCACTAAAATTCCCAGGGCCTAGTACCAGGACCATTACAAGGAAACCTGCCTAGAGAGGCTACTTGCTTGGCCCACAAGCCCCAGTGCCCCCTAGGTTAGCCCCCAGGCCCATAGGCTAGGGACCACTGAGCTTTGAATTGGTCCTCTACTCCTCGATCCCATTTCCTATCAGAACCAGCTCAGGGAAGACCCTAAGCAGAAATGCAGGAACCTCTGACCTTCTCATGTAATGCCAGGGAAAGAGCAAATGGGAGACTGCACTGCATTAGCCATGCAGCTTTGGGGAACCCATACTTTATAATCCCCAGTTCACTGAGCCTGATGTCCCTGAAGCCCATGTGGCCAGTAAGCCTGCAGGAGAGGTAAGGAGCCTGAGGCCTGTGAGGAGGGAGTACACTCAGCCAGGTAGCCCCCTGACCCTGGCCTGACACTGAGTTTCAGAGTCAGAATCTGTACCAGGTCAAGCTCAGTGAAAGAGCATGACTCAGAGCCTGGGACCCAGCGGACGGACGCTCCATAAATATTTGTGGAATGAATACATGAGGGGTGAGATGAGAGGGGCCTCCTGTAGGGGCATCCTGGTAGCACTGGCTTGGCCTAGCCCATGCAGGAAGTAAATACAGGCACTGCAGAAACAAGCCTCTCTCCTGGTAAGGGGGCCAGAGGCCAGTGTGGATTGGGCTGTTTCAAAATCCACCTAGAGAAGGGTGGCAGGTTGGACAGAGCATGGGACTCCTTAGCCCAAGGACCCATAGCTTCTTCAGGAACATGGAATCAGCCTTCCTGTCCTAGGTGGGAGTAGCCTCAATGCCTCAATCCCCAGTCCCCAGTTCTGGAAGCCACAGCCTATAGCAGCAGCAGGAACCTTACCTTGGCCGCTTCTTCAGGCAGCTGGGCCTCACTCTCTCCCACTGCAGGCTGGCACTTGTCTGGAGCCCAGGAAGCGGCGCTCCCTTCAGGCAGAAGAGGAAAAAAAAAAAAGGAAAAGAAAAAGAAAACCTCAGTGCTTTTCTTGCCCAGCCTCTTCTCCTGAAGGCTCCTGTTCGGTGTCATCCTGCCTTTGTGGGCACACAGCCTCCCTCCCTCCTGCAGCTTACTCACCGGTGTGCCCAAGAGGCTGCCAGCTGTGTGGGGGAGGTGGGACCCACGCCCCTCTGCCTGACACACACTGGGGCATGCCCTGTGGGTGCCAGGGTTCCCAGATGTGCCCTGGCCAGCACCCTTCTCACTGAAAGTGCCTAGGAGATCAGCAGGGGCCACATAGGTGCTGATTAGCCCTGCATGGGAGAGTGACAGGATTCTTGGTAGGAAATTGTTTCCTTGGTGCCCAGGGCTATCAGGAAGAGGAGGGAACTTGTGGACTAACCAGGCCCCTGGTGGGTTTTGCTCCCATCCTTGGCCAGCCCCACTGGACCACTTCCTACCTTGGCATCTTACTGGGTCTCTGTTCTGTGGATCCAGAGAGGGCCTGGGCCTAACCAGCTGGCAGTTGCTCCTCACCTGCTCAGGCCATGTGCTTGGTGTCCCTCTTCCCAGCACCGTCTAGGGCCTGAACCCACCCACCATCAGTTACGATAAACTGTTATCAAGTCCCCATCCTTAGCTCTTTGCTGGACACAGCTTCTGTCATCAACAGAGAGATGACACACTCTCAGTCACACAGCACTCACTCTCTCACACACATTAGCCCACACCCAGCACTGAGCCACCTACCTGCACAGGCCTGCTTAAGCCAATCCAGCTTCACTCTCCGAATGCCACTGTTACCCTAGAAGTCATTCATTTACAGAAACATCTCATGAGGCGAGTTCAAAGCCAGCCCAAGAGAACTGCAGTTGGTGTGGACAAGACTCCCCTTCCTCTCTTGACACCTCCAGAGGACACACTGGCAGCCTGATCACCATGTCTGCTATTGCACTCTGCCAGCTACAATCTCTTGGCGGGCACCCCTGGCCCCCACCATGACTTCTATATCCTTAGGGAGTAGTGGCAGATTCACAGCAAGACCCATCTTCCTCCAAGCCAAGGTAGGGAGGGGAGAGATAGAAGAGGCGGGACTCAGGTGCAGCTCCAAGTTTTCAGCTCCCAAAATAATTAAATGCAAAAAGAAAGGAAGAAAAGCTCTGGCGGGTGGGTGACTCAGTGGCGGTGGGCCGGCTTAGTCACCTGAATGGCTGCTTGTGGCTCCTGGCATGTCAGGAGGGGAGCAGTGCCCTCCCCCACCTGCTGTGGACAGCAGCTGCTGTCAAAAGGAGCTGGCTGTGGAGCCCTGGCGTGTCCAGGCTGCCTGGCAAGCAGCCGGCAGCTCCCGCCTTGCTCAGGGCCCGGCAGCCAGGGTCTCAGTGTGCCCCTCCTCCACCGTGCACCCCAGCTCACTTTGAGATTTCTCCATTAAATCCTCAGGCAGCAACCTGCTCGTTTGGGGCGCGAGCTGCTTCAACGTTGCTTGGCAATTTTGATATCGTCGGGGGTTGCCATGGGGAGGAGGGTGATGTCATTGACACAAAAAACCCACTGAATTTACAAATCAGCTGGGGCTGGAGCTATTTATAAAAACACATTTTTTTTTCTCTGCCTTCCTTTAAGGAGGGGGAGGGAGAGGAAGTGCTGCCAGCTAGGATCAGGGTGAGCCTCTTGTCCACCCTACACTTCCCCCACATTAGTTGGATCTCTCTGACTCACCCCCAGCCCCCCAAGATTCAGAGATGCTGGACTCAGGTCTGGCAGATGCTGGGCACAGCTGGATTAAGCTTCCTTCTCAGGGTCTCCTTCAATTTTGCTGTGAAGAACAGCAGGGCTCAAGTTGGTGGGGTTGGGGATGGAAAGGTGAGTGGGGGAGGGGAAGGCAGGATGGGGACCAGTGTCCTGGGTTGTCAGGGACCAGAGGCAGCCACTCTATAAGGCCTCTTCATTTCCAGGTCTCTGAGCAGGAAAGGGGATTTTTGCTGGCAAGGTGGCTTGAGCTTCTGGGTATGTGTACCTGTCAGCTCTCTAAAAAGTACCAGGTGAAGCATGGCCTTCATTATGCCCTCCTCTCTGAGCCTTGAGTCCTCTTCACTGGCTCTTTTCTCCTCCACATGTCCAATTGTGTGGGGGCCCAAGCTCCAGTCTACACCCACTGCTCATCTCATCCCTGCACTTACCCAGGACTAA